AAGTGCCAGAGCCAGACACTTTTTTTCTAGGCCTCCCCGTGAGAGCATCAGTTGCTGCAGGCTGTAGGACAGGCCTCTCCTCCTGTCTCCCACCACCTCCTTCCACAGGGCTGGAACCACGAGGTCCTTGACACATACTGAATATTGGCAGGAATCCCAGTGGACCCTGGCTCATTTCTTCCATTCTCTGGGTGGCACCTGTTTGGGTAGCCTCTGTTACATAGGCCCCAGGAATTCTGGGGGCAGGGAGGACACATCTAGGACATTCCCCTCTCGCCAACCCCAAAGCAAGACCTTAAGTGATGTGAGTGGGCGTATGAACATCCCAAGCTCTTCTGAGAAGGGGGTGGGGACCCTGGGTGGGGGCTCCAGAGCCCCAGTGCCCTGGCCTTGGTCACAGGTGCCATTAGGTCACCAAACCAGCCAGCTAGTCTCAGGGCAGCACTCCACCAACCCTGACTACATTTTCCCAGGCACTAAACAAAAAGCCTACACAGGTGCTGTTAAGCATTCAGCTCCCCACCCACATGCCAGGAACTAAAAATAGCTGCAGCCTATGTCAATCATTAGCCAGGCTGCGCCTCAGACCTCCTCTCTGAGCGCTGGCATCTGGGGCAGCTCAGGCTGGGAGAGTGGCAATGGGCAGCATCTGGGGCCTCACCAAGGAGCTGAACTTGAGCAAGCAGGTTCTGAAAGACACTTCTTCAAGATAAACTCAATTACCAGTGCACTGGCATTTGGATTACATGAGAATCCTAACATATTGGAGCTGGGAGGGGCCTTCATGAAATCACTTCGTTCAACCAGTTTATTTTATTTGAGGTGGCAGCCGGGGCCCAGAGAGCAAGAGGACTCTGCCTGAGGTCTCAGAGCTGGCGTGGGGCAGGGCAATGACCAGAACCACGTCTCTGGATTTCCAGACCAGTGCATTTTGGACCAGGCTGGTCTCCCAATACTCAATGCATTTCTGGGCTCCATCCCACCTTCTCAGGTTGGAGAATGGACTTGAGAAATACAAAGAGGTTAAACCTCAGAAAGAGAGAAGAAAGTGACTGCTGCCTCCCAAATAATGTCCCACATAATCAAGCCATACAGAAAAGCACTAGCCGCTCCATGGGAGCCTTGTGACCCTGTTTCTCTGCAGATCACCTCCCTGTGTGTTGATGACAACAGAGAAAGAGGATTGGCAACCGCTGCTCTGATCTCTCAAGGATATTACCAGCCACGGAGACCAAACATCAGCCCCACCTAAGTTCAGGGTTCAAATGGCCTCTGCCCCCAAGCTCTCCTAGAAACAGTCACCTAGGTATCACATTTGGAGTTGAAGAAGGCAATTGGGAGGAGGTAACACAAAAAAAAATAACCCCTATCCCACTGGGTCTTGGAGGGGCCCCTTGATCCCATGGGGTCTGGAAGATCTGGTGGTGGCTCCAGAGACGGAGCACGTGGATGCCGGACTGGATGGCTGGGAGCAGCAGATGACTCTCAGGCAGCAGCAAAGTCACAGCAGCTTGCCCGCCTGTGCACAAGCCCACAGGAACAGAGTCTGCCTTGCTTGCACTGCCTGCAGGATTGCCAGTGTCATGAGAAACCATTCCCACTTCCTAACCTGAGGAACACAGGCTTAGACAACAGCAAGACTGATAAGCATAGCAGTAGTAGTTTCAAATTCAGGAGAGCAGTGGGTGGTGTTCCAGAAACTTCTGGTTGTCCTCCTCAACCATCTGTTCTCTCTTGCTTTAGTAACAGAATGCTCACCATAGCCTGGCACACAGCAGCCCCAGCTAAGGACTGTTTCTCCGACTCCTAGCAGCTCGGAGGGCCTGCCATGGGGATGTGTAAGTGAGCAGTCTTGGGCTATGCAAGTAAGGGAGGCACCTGGACGGTGCTACCCAAAATGTGGCCCAGAGACTGGCGGCATGACACAATCTGGGAGCCTATAAGCAATTAAAATGCCCAGGTCCCACTGCCGATCTCCTAAATCAGAATGATTAGGGGTGCAGTCAATCTAAGAATCTGTGTTTTAACAAGCATTCCAGATTGTTCTTATACATGCTCAAGTTTGAAAACCACAGCCCTAGAGAATGTTAGGGACAACAGTCCATAAGGAGCCTGAACAACCTCATGGAACACACGTTTAACCTGGACTCTAACTTTTCAAGAAAGAGTGAGAGTGAGAGAGAGAAAAAGAGAGAGAGGGAGTATCCTCTCCTCACTCACAACCAAAACTGAATCGTAATACAGGTGGCATGAGGAAGATGATGTATTGCTTAACACAAACAGCAAGAATCAGGAAAGGAGTAACATGCAAGGAATAAAATCAAGTACACATGGTATGTGAAGAGTCAGAATTCCCCTACCAAAGACAGAAACCATGTAATTAGGTTTGTTGCTGTTATTGCCTTCCGTCATCCTCCATCCACCCCCAACCATGTGCTGATTGTAAGAGAAACAATTTTTTTTAATGAAGCTTCCATTTTCAAGAAAAACTTTTTTAAGTGGGAAAGAAACATTTAAAACTAAGGGTTGGTCAAAGACATACCAAATAAATGCAAAGAAAAACCAGAGGTGGAATTTATTAATATTAAATTAATAATATCATATTATTAATGAATATTAATATTAAATATTAATATTAAAAATAGGCGGCCGGGTATGGTGGCTCACACCTGTAATCTGAGCACTTTGGGAGGCCAAGGCAGGGGGATCGCCTGAGGTCAGGAGCTCAAGACAAGCCTGGGCAACATGATGAAACACCGTCTCTACTAAAGACACAAAAATTACCTGGGCACAGTGGCGTGTGTCTGTAATCCCAGCTACTTGGGAGGCTGGGGCAGGAGAATCCCTTGAGCCCGGGAATCCGAGGTTGCAGTGAGCCAGGATTGCACCATTGCACTCCAGCCTGGGCAACAAAGCAAGACTCCGTTTCAAAAAAAAAAAAAAAAAATAGTCTGAGCACAGTGGTTGGCCGGGTGCAGTGGCTCATGTCTGTAATCCCAGCACTTTGGAAAGCTGAGGCGGGCAGATCACTTAAATCCAGGAGTTTGAGACCAGTCTGGGCAACGCAGGAAAACCCTGTCTCTACCAAAAATACAAAAATTTGTCAGTCTTGTAATCCGGTCTCAAAATAAATAAAAATGAAAAACTATATAAAATTTAAAAATACATACATTGAGGACTTTTCAATAATCCTGCCTTAGCAGGTCAAGGGGTTTTTCCAGCCATTTCTCTCGGGCATTTGCCTTTATCTGTAAACACAGGACTTGGATCTCACTAGGATCTCAGGGTCCAACAAGGCGTAGGCTAGTCCAGCCTGCTGAGATCGTTTATGTGGCATAAAACACAGGCACAGAGACGAGCTTAACACTTGTGGCCTGCGTCTTTCTGCCCTCCGGCCCTGGGAAGTGTTTGTGTACTGGCTACCCTGTCAAAAGCTCATCTTGCCGCCTCAAATGAGGAAGGAAACACGTAAATGCGAGGCAGAGCAGTCTGCTCCTTGGATCTACAGGAAGGGGGCAGGAACTACAAAGTGAGAGAAGAGGTTCCTAGGCAACGTCCCCAGAGTTTGCACACAAATCTGATTTTAGCCACCTCTCCTAAAAATCGGGCTATCATGGGGACCATCAGGACCGCCGAGGACAGGGAGCTCGTGACTATCAGTGAGACCTGATTACTAACCACTCTGTGTGAGCCTGAACAGAAACTAAAGTGCTTGAATGTCCTCTGACTGATGCCTACATTTAAATTTCTGAGCCTTTCACTTACTATCTTATAAAATGCACTTATTTATTAATTTTAAGACGGTAAAAAAAAGAGATTCTCCCAGATCCTTGGCCATATATTGTCCTAAAACACAGACAATATGGGACTTAAGGCCAAAGACCAAAGGCATTAAATAACCAACAAATGACACAAGTTAGGCAGATCAGCTTGATAAACCTGTATACACGAAACACGAAAGCCAAATTCAAAAGGCTAGAACTTCCACAAATATAAGTAGAGCTGGACTTTGAAAAACTACAGTGAGGCTGCGCACAGTGGCACATGCTTATGATTCCAGCACTTTGGGAGGCTGAGGCAGGTGGATCTCCTGAGGTCAGGAGTTTGAGACCAGACTGGTTAACATAGTGAAACCCTGCCTCTACTAAAAATACAAAAAATTAGCTGGGAGTGGTGGTGGGCACCTATAATCCCAGCTACTAGGGAGGCTGAGGTAGGAGAATCACTTGAACCCAGGAGTCAGAGGTTGCAGTAAGCCGAGATGGAGCCATTGCACTCCAGCCTGGGCAACAAGAGTGAAAATCCATCTCAAAACAAACAAACAAACAAACAAATTATAGTGAGAGTTTTTTCTGTCATACCTCCCAGAATCTGACAGCCAGGCAAGCAGGGATATAAGGACAACTGAACTTAACAGATCTATCTAAAGTCAGCATCCCGCAGAGTACCTATTTTCTCCTTTCACGTCCATCAAACATGTTAATACTGATCATGCAGTTGGCCACAAAGAAAATTTAATACCAGCCAAGTGCAATAGCTCACTCCTGTAGTCCCAGCACTTCGGGGAAGCTGAAGCAGGGGGATTGCTGGAGGCCAGAGCTTTGAGACCAGCCTGGGAAACATGCTTCATTCATTCATTCATTCATTCATGAGAATGTATCTGTTTTGTGAAAGGAGCAAACCCTTGCAGGCACCTAGGTCTCATGAGCACGGAGCACTGTGGGGAGGGATGTCAGTGGCAGTGAATGGGAGCAGGAGGGTAAATCGAGGAAACAGAATCAAACACTGCCTCAACGACATCCTCCTTGCCTTCAAAGCCAACATTTCAGAGCTTGTCAAAACTTACTACACCAGATCCTCACGTCCTGCTACTCCTCACCCATTCATTCCAACTGATGCCAGCATCCCACCAAAGCAGCAAAGGCAGACACATCTCTTCCACGTGACTTACCACAGCCACGATGCCAAGCTGACCACTCTATTCCACGAAGCAGACTCACCCTGGCTCCTGATACAACTCTGTCCTGGCTTTCTGGGCCCCTCTCAGGCCGCTCTTTTTCTGAGTCCTTTGTGGGCTTATCTTCCTTTACTCAGCTGTTTGAGGTGAATTCTTTAATCTCGCCGTGCCCACAACTTCAAATACAAACACAACCTAGACAAATGTCTGTCTAGGCAACACCCCCTGAGCCCCAGACCCACCAGCTTATTTGGTATATCAAAGACACCTCAAACACAACAGGTCCAAAACCAAATACGTGATCTTCTTCATCCTCCAAACCTGGTCCTCATCCAGTGTCCCAGGTCTCGGGGACACCAGGGGGATGACTCTAGGGTGAGTGGGGGCAGTCTCTCCTTTTATGCACACCTCGAAGGGTGAGGCCAACTGCTCAGCAACGAGCAGTTCTACAGGAATATGCCTTGTCACCTACTTCCTAAAAATAGCCATGACCTTTTTAGTAGACACAGCACGCTCACATCCATCATCACCACTCCTTCCCCACCGACACACACGCCCTTTCCCCCAGCGGTCCCACTCCCCAGGCTGGATCTGCTCCCTCAGCCTCCCTGTGAGCAGCCTCCATGTTTCTCCTCTCGGCCCTCACTCAGATTCCCCTCCATCTCACATCCTCCATGCCAGCAGCTCCCAGGTCTGAGGGGCAGGGGACACCTGACTTCCCTCTCAATTTCCTTTCCTTCTTTTCTGCTAAGGCAGAGCCCAAGCCCCTGGAAAACTAGAGATCCCATAACCAAGCTTTGACCACCACATGCTCTACCCCAGCTTCACAGCTCCAGGCAGTCATATACCCACGATTATCAACATTGTCATCACCACCCCCTTATCTCAAACCCCTTTGGGAACATCTTATCATCTGATTCTCCATTCCAGGCAGGCATTTTATCAACCAGAACATGGGGGTTCTGTGTGGCTCGGTGGCTTGTCCCAGGTTACCCAGCACAGAGAACTCTGTCCCCCAACTCCTTGGTTGCCCCTACCCATTCCTTCCTCTCATCAGCGTGGGCAAGGCCAGCCGTGGTTTGGGTCACTGTTCAGGCTGTACTTTCAGGATCTTCCCAAATAACAAACAACTATGTGACTATCAGGTTTTATTTCATGGGTTGTAGGAGACAGGGTCAGTAAGCCTAATGTGTAACAGTTTCAGTGGTTATCTGACAGCTCCACTGAATTTCAACAACTCCCTTAAAAATGCAAACTCCCACCAAGAAAACCTCAGTTTCTTCATTAATCCTAAGAGCTTTCCTAGGTATCACTCAAAACTCCTACTATTCTGGGGGCAATGGGATCAGAGGGTATTGTAGACAAAAATCCAGAGAAAGTGAAAAGTCCGTTTTCTTGGCTGTGCTGGTGAAGCATACCCTTGCGTGGATGCTTCCTTATGGAACCAAGTGCCAGGAACTGCTTCAGGCTTACAGGAGAAGATGGTGGCTAAGAAGAGACGGGAGGCCAGGCGTGGTGACTCACACCTGTAATCCCAGCACTTTGGGAGGCCGAGGTGGGTAGATCACTTGAGGTCAGGAGTCCAAGACCAGCCTGGCCAACATGGTGAAACCTCGTCTCCACTAAAAATACAAAAATTAGCCAGGCATGGTGGCATATGCCTGTAATCCCAGCTACTCAGGAGGCTAAGGCAGGAGAATCACTTAAACCCAGGAGGCAGAGGTTGCAGTGAGCCAAGATTGCACCACTGGACTCCAGCCTGGGCAACAGGGTGAGATCCATCTCAAAAAGAAAAGAAAAAGAGAGAGAGAGAGGAAGAAGCGGGGTGAATCCAAGAAGGAGGAGGGGGTGCACCAGAAAGGTTCTGGGATCTCTGATGTTCCGGCATTCAGCAGGCATTATGGTTCCACATTCACCTCCTGCCCACACCAATTTCTTTTCTACAGTGAGTTCCCAAGAAGAACCCACACTAATCTATTTTGTCTCAACTCCCACTCCTGTCATCCCAAGCCACACATCACTTCCCCAGTCACATTACCTAGGCATCACTAATCAATCCTGGTCTTCTAGACACATCCACCCAGGGTGGGCCCCTTCTAAAATATCATGCATAAAGGCATCAGACGGGACTTCCACTTCCACCTCTTGGTTCCAATTCATCTCCATCTCACCCTCCCCACTTTTCTCTGCCTATCCAAACCCAGCCTTCAAGGTCCCATATTTTAACCACAGGAAAACCACTTCCCTGTGCTGCCTCTGTTGTTCAATTAACGACAACTAACTTCCTGAGCACCTATACTAGGCAAGGCCCATCCTGAGTGCTGCCACCAAGAGGTAAGTTAGAAACAGCCCCACCCTCCAGAGTCAGAGGACAGGGCAGAGATAAGCCACATGGCAATTCGTGAGATGAGAACTGGGTCAGTGCCGGAGGAGCTGAGTGAGCTCAGGGCATATCCCATCCCTCCTGCTAGGGAGCAGGCACCGGATGGCTCCCAGGAGGGTGGAGAATCCTGGGCAAGACAAGGGAGGGAGGGCATTCCAGGAAGACAGAGCGCATGAGCTTAGCATGAGCTAAGCCAGAAAGATGGTTCAGAAGAAGCGCATTTCAACTTTAGCTGGACCTTCCACTGCTACTATTTTTTGCCCCTGTAATCAGGTGTACCTGATTACTTATGAGCCAGGCCTGCCTCACACACTTTATGGCTAATCCAGGTAACACCCACCTGGGACAAAAAAGTATGGTGCAGCAGTCACCACCTGTCTGGTCCATACTTGAGCGCTGTATGGTTGTTAAATAAACGAATGCCCTGAATCTCACAATGAGCCTGTGAGGCGGGGAGTAGTATTACCCCCATTTTACAGATGAGGAAACCAAACACAGACAATAGTCAGAGACAAGATAGCGAAGTATGCGCCCAAGGTAGTGGGCACCCAATACCAGGGCAACAAACTGCCTTGGCACCTCACCTGGCCTCTCTTGCCAGGCAACACCTTGCAGCACAAAGAATGCCTTGAGGAAAGGGGCCCCGTTAATCCTCCTGGAATCCCCAACAACTGACTGCCACATAAAAGGAATGAGGGAAGCAAGGAAAGCCAGTGAGGGGTGAGCATACCAGGCCCTGCCCTGCCAGCCTTTAGTCCCTATTGCGCGGGCAGGGCAGTGGCTGGGCCTCACAGCTCCAGGCCTTGCCCATGGTAGAGAACAGAGGGGAGAACTACCACAAACGCCCAGTCTCCACAGAGAGGTCAGTGATTGGAGGGCAGAGACAGAAATGCCCGGGCCAACTGCGCCCAGCTTGGGCTAGCACTGGCTGGCTTAACTTTTCTCCTCCAAAGTCTCTAGGTGACAAACTTCACATCCCTCCTTTAAACCAACAGAGCGTTTTAGCTTCCTAAGTCTTAAGGGCCTGGCCTGCGCCCGTGGGGAGATGCAAGTCCTGGAATCCCTTTCTGAAACTGGGAACCAAGGCTGGGGAAGGGGCGAAGGCAGCCACAGCACCTGGGAGGCTCCCGCATTCTCTCAAACACTGGGAAGAGTTCCTTGCAAATAAACTGCAATGGTAGCAGCTCCCAGGAATCTGCGTGCTCCCAGTTTCGGAGGAAAGTGCCGAAGGCAGCCTTCTCTGTTTGCTCTCCCCAGCCCTGCCTGGAAGGGCGCGCTCACCCTAGAAGGCTCCGAGGAGCGGAGGAGGGGCCGGGCCTCCGGCATCCGTCCTGCGGCCGGTCGCCTCCTGCGCACAGGGTCAAGGCCCCGGGACCGCCATCGCGCGCGTCCCCGACCCTACCCAGACTCAGACTGAGCCCCTGACCCCTGAGCCCAGGGGGCCCGGGGAGTGCACCCCTATCCCACGGGAGGGGGCAGCCCCCGACGCCGCAGCTGATCTCGGGGGCAGCCAGGCCAACACAGCCCGCCCGGGACACACCGACGCCCTCCTCTGCCGCCCACCCCATGCCTGCCGTAAAACCAGGAAGACGCAGGGCCGCCCTGGGCTGGGCGCTGGATAGCCCCGGGCCTCACCCGCGGGGCAGCGGTGCACTGCCGCCGCCCGGTCCCAGGACCCCGGCAGGCCCGGGACCCTCACTTACCTGGCCACAGGGACCCGGGACGCGAGGGGCGAACCGGGACGTGGGAGAGAGTCGCTCTCTCCGCGGGTGTCCCGGGCGCGGCGCCTGGGTTCTGCCTGGGTCTGGGTCCCTCTCGCGCTCGCGGGGCACTCGGGGCACCGGGGAGTCGCGGGCGCCACAGCCGTCAGGGCGGGGCGGGAGGAGGAGCCCGCTGGGCGGAAAACTCCGCGGGTGCGGCTGCCCCAGGCGCCGGGGGCAGGGCGGGGAGGGGAGGGGAGGGCGGGGCCTGGGCGCGGCACCGCCCCCGAGATGAGGACGGGACGGGGCGGGGCGGGCGCGGGAGGAGCCCGGGCCTTCCGGCTGTGGGGCTGCTCCGGGACGCCTCGGGCTCCGGAGGTTCCTCTGCCGCCCTAACGCCTTGCGGCGCCCGGGGCCGCGCAGAGTCGCATTCGCCCTCCCGCAGGGGTGGGCATTTCCTAAGCCCCCTACAGCCTCGAGTGCGTCGTTAGGGACCCGCTTTATAAAAAGAAAACGTTTTACACTGAAAATTCCTTTATAGCAACACTCAGTGGTGGGGAGGAAGGGGGAAGGTCACACACCGTAGCTGAAGAAGGGAGCGGTAGCGGAGAAACCTGGCAAACCCCCCAGCCGTCAAGGTGACCTCGACAGGGGTAAATCACACGTGCTGGCTGCATGCACCGCTGTGGCCTTCCTCCCAAGAACACCTAACCCCACTGTAATCATGAGAAAAACATCACAGATCAGTTGAGGCGCTTGCCACATAATACATGACCAGGACTCCTGAAAACTAGCAAGGTCATCAAAACCCAGGAAAGTCTAAGCCACTGTCACAGCCAAGAGGAACCCACGGAGACATAAAAATGGCATGTAAACTGGTATCCCGAACGGGATCCTGGACGGACAGTAGGTAGAAAATAAGGACGACTGAATATAATATGGACTTTAGTTCCTCAGTCTGGGTTCATTCATTGTGACAAAAGCGCCACACCAATATAAGATGTGAATATTAATAGGAAAACCCGGGTTTATGAGAACTTCCTGTATTCACATTTTTTCTGTAAATCTAAAGCCGTTCTAAAAATAAAGCATATTTTTGAAAGGTCATGGAGGTAATATATGCATGTATAGTAGGTATAATTTTTTTTTTAATGAGTGATGGTTGACACCTGTAATTTCAGCACCCTGGAAGGCCGAGACAGGAGGATAGCTTGGAGACAGGGCTTCCAGACCAGACCTGGTCTCTAAAAAAAGCAAAAATAAAAAATTCAAAAACTGAATAAAAATTAAGATTCGCTCTTCCCTCGACTCCCAGAGCCCACTGTTAGGTATGTCCTTCCAAATATCTCTCTTCAACACATGGGTGTGTGTGTTTGTGTGTGTGTGTGTGTTTGTCCGTGTTTACATAAATATATGGTTTACAAAATGATGTTGAGGTACTTTTCTGCAACGTGTTGTTTTACTGACTATATCCTGGAGGGTCTTTCCATACAAGCGCTCCCGGACAGACCTGGTTCTTCCCATCCACCGCACACTGTACGCCATCGTGCGCGTCACCTTTCTTCATTACCTAGCTCCTTACTGAAGAACATTTAGGTTGTTGCCTATGTTTGGCTGTTACAAACAAGCTGCTGGTTCGATTTCCTTTTTTTTTTTTTTTTTTTTTTTTTTTTTTTTGAGACGGGTCTCGCTCGGTCGCCCAGGCTGGAGAGCAGTGGCGCGATCTCAGCTCACTGCAACCTCCCCCTCCCGTGTTCAAGCAATTCTCCTGTTGCTGGGACTACAGGTGCCCAGCCTGTAGAGACGGGGTTTTGCTATGTTGGCCAGACTGCTCTGGAACTCCTGGGCTCAAGTGATCTGCCCTCCTCTACCTCCCAAAGTGCTGGGATTACCGGCACCGGCCGCCCGCGCCCAGCCCGATTTGCATTTTAAGGTAGTTCTGAACAATAAAAGTGGGAAGGACTGGGTGCGGTAGGCAGGTCCTGGACTGAAGGGGAGGCCCTGACCTTCTCCCTGCCGGGGCAGGTGTGCGGGTGCCGGGCAGAAACCGCGCCCTGGGGCAGCCTGGCCTTGGCCGCACGATGGGCCCTGGGCGCTCAGTCATAATCCGTGGCCGCTCCAACACTCCCGCCCCCCACCAACAGGCGCGGCTCTCCTTCGGGGCTGAACCACATTTTTTGGACATGAGTGGATGAGTGAGGGTGAAATTCAGGCCACAGGCTCCAGAGCGGCTGGGAGAAAACGCCGCCGGGAACCGAAGAGCAGAGGGTCAGAGGTACCAGCAAGACTCTCAGAGTGGGTTATTACCACGGTAGGGGCGCCCGCTACGGCGTAAGAGACGGCGGGACTCGGGGCACGGGTGTGAAGCCCCCAGGAAACCAGTACGACGTTCCTGGGGAAGTAATGTCTCCAGGCTCTCTCTCGGCCCGGGGATTGGTCCAGGAAGGTCACCTGGCACCGACCCAGCCCCCTGCCTGGACGCCGGCGCCCACCGTGCAGCCCCACAGCGACCACGAAGGCCAGCTTCCTTGCATGGCCCACTTTTCTCCCTGGTTGAGCGAATGCTCCTAGAATACCACGTTTATAACAAATCATGTGGGGTGGAATTCCTGCTGGATGTATACACCTTTCTGTGTCAGACCAGAAAGGTGTATACATCCAGCAGGAATTCTTTCCGTGTCAAACCCAGAATGGTGAATAGCCACCCCTGTGCTTACCCTTCTGTAATTTTCAGCAATCTTGCAGTGAGCCCCAGCTAGGTGCCAGCAAGGTGCTAGGGACTGAGAAGGCTCTGCAGAGGGCCCGAGCTGAGGGCCTAATCCTCAAGACCAATGGCAGGGGTCACCACCCAGTCACCCCCAGAGAACGCGGTGTGAAGGAAAAGACGCCATACTCGGTGTTCAAATGTCTGGGAACTATTACAGTTCTGATTCTGACACTTGCAAGTCATGCATCCTCTAAGCCTCGGCTTTCTCACGTATAAAATCTTCTATGAGACCTATACAAATCCGTAAAATCATCCCTGCTTCGTAGTTTCCCAGGGCTCATAGAAACATCACACGAAGTAAGGGAAAGTGAGTGCCTTGTAAAAAATGGTGACGTGCTATATAGCTCTGAGTAGTATGTGTATAAGCTTCCTTTTTAAAAAGTTTTGGCCGGGTGCGGTGGCTCACGCCTGTAATCCTAGCACTTTGGGAGGCCGAGGCGGGTGGATCACGAGGTCAAGAGATCGAGACCATCCTGGTCAACACGGTGAAACCCCATCTCTACTAAAAATACAAAAAATTAGCTGCGCATGGTGGCTCGTGCCTGTAATCCCAGCTATTCGGGAGGCTGAGGCAGGAGAATTGCCTGAATCCAGGAGGCGGAGGTTGCCGTGAGCCGAGATCGCGCCATTGCACTCCAGCCTGGGTAACAATAGCGAAACTCTGTCTCAAAAAAAAAAAAAGTTTTATTTTTAGGGCCAGGCGCAATGGCTCTCAGCTGTAATCCCAACACTTTGAGAGAGAGAGGCGGGTAGATCACCTGAGGTCAGGAGTTTGGAACCAGCATGGCCAACATGGTGAAACCCCATCTCTACTAAAAATACAAAATACTAGGTGGCTGTGATGGCAGGTGCCTATAATCCCAGCTACTTGGGAGGCTGAGGCAGGAGAGTCACTTGAACCTGGGAGGTGAAGGTTGCAGTGAGCTGAGATCGCACCATTGCCCTCCAGCCTGAGCAACAAGAGTGAAACCTCGTCTCAAAAAAAAAAGTTTTTTTGAATTTTTGTGGGTACATAAGGTGTATTAATCTTTCTAACATTGACAACGGTTGAGTACAGCCAATGTGACTGGTCATGTACTTGGTGCCCAGTAGGGAGACAAGTGAAAACTCTCTTGTTTTTTCCGGTTTTTAGAGTTGAACACTAGAGTCATGTAGTTTCAAAATCTTTGGTTGTTTTCTTTCTTTTTTTATTTTATTTTATTTTTGAGACAGTGTCTCACTCTTGCTGCTCAGGCTGGAATACAATGGTCCTATCTTGGCTCACTGCAACCTCCACCTCTAGAGTTCAAATGATTCTCCTGCCTCAGCCTCCCCTGTAGCTGGGATTACAGGCGCCTGCCACCATACCTCACTAATGTTTGTACTTTTAGTAGAGACAGTGTTTCGCCATGTTGGACAGGCTGGTCTTGAACTCCTGACCTAAGGTGATCCGCCTGCCTTGGCCTTCCAAAGTGCTTGGATTACAGGCATGAGCCACATTGCCCACCTCTTTTGTTATTTTCTAATAAGTACATGGGACTATCATTTCCCTCAAAAGTCTGCTTTAGCTGAATATCACAAGTATTAATATGCCATGCTTTTGTTATCTCTTAGTTATTGATATTTTGGGTGTTTTTTTGTTTGGTTGGTTTTTGTTTTTTTGGTTTTTTTGTTTGTTTTTTTTTTTTGAGACATAGTTTTGCTCTGTCATCCAGGCTGGACTGCAATGGCACAATCTCAGGTCACTGCAACCACAACCTCCCAGATTCAAGAGATTCTCCTGCCTCAGCCTCCTGAGTAGCT